AAGACCAGTAGAGTACAATAACACAGAAGACCAGTACAGCACAATAACACAGAAGACCAGTACAGTAACACAGAAGACCAGTACAGTACAATAACACAGAAGACCAGTACAGTAACACAGAAGACCAGTACAGCACAATAACACAGAAGACCCTACAGCACAATAACCCCAGAAGACCAGTACAGTAACACAGAAGACCAGTACAGTACAATAACACAGAAGACCAGTACAGTAACACAGAAGACCAGTACAGCACAATAACACAGAAGACCAGTACAGTACAATAACACAGAAGACCAGTACAGTACAATAACACAGAAGACCAGTACTGTACAATAACACAGAAGACCAGTACAGTACAATAACACAGAAGACCAGTACAGTACAATAACACAGAAGACCAGTACAGTACAATAACACAGAAAAGGATATAAATTTTCTGGAAAATGTACAAAGGAGGATGACAAAGTTGATCCCATGTATCAGAAACTTTCCCTATGAGGATAGACTAGGGGCCCTGAATCTGCACTCTCTAGAAAGACATAGAATTAGGGGGGATATGATTGAGGTGTATAAATGGAAGACAGGAATAAATAAAGGGGATGTAAATAGTGTGCTGAAAATATCTAGCCTAGACAGGACTCGCAGCAATGGTTTTAAGTTGGAAAAATTCAGATTCAGGAAGGATATAGGAAAGTACTGGTTTGGTAATAGAGTTGTGGATGAGTGGAACAAACTCCCGAGTACAGGTATAGAGGCCAGAACGTTGTGTAGCTTTAAAAATAGGTTGGATAAATACATGAGTGGATGTGGGTGGGTGTGAGTTGGTCCTGATAGCTTGTGCTACCAGGTCGGTTGCCGTGTTCCTCCCTTAAGTCAATGTGAGCTGACCTGACTAGGTTGGGTGCATTGGCTTAAGCCGGTAGGAGACTTGGACCTGCCTCGCATGGGCCAGTAGGCCTTCTGCAGTGTTCCTTCGTTCTTATGTTCTTATGTTCTTATGTTACCAACACATAATCCAACAAACTACTGTCATTTCGCCCTACATCATGTCTTGTATACTTATTTATCCTCTTTTTTTTAAAATATGTATTACCTATAACTAAACCCCTTTCTATACAAAGTTCAATCAAAGGGCTCCCATTATCATTTACACCTGGCACCCCAAACTTAACCTACCACACCTCTCTAAAAGTTTCTCCTACTTTAGCATTCAGATCCCCTACCACAATTTCTCTCTCACTTGGTTCAAGGGCTCCTATACATTCACTTAACATCTCCCAAAATCTCTCTCTCTCCTCTGCATTCCTCTCTTCTCCAGGTGCATACACGCTTATTATGACCCACTTCTCGCATCCAACCTTTACTTTAATCCACATAATTCTTGAATTTACACATTCATATTCTCTTTTCTCCTTCCATAACTGATCATTCAACATTACTGCTACCCTTCCTTTGCTCTAACTCTCTCAGATACTCCAGATTTAATCCCATTTATTTCCCCCCACTGAAACTCCCCTACCCCCTTCAGCTTTGTTTCGCTTAGGGCCAGGACATCCAACTTCTTTTCATTCATAACATCAGCAATCATCTGTTTCTTGTCATCCGCACTATATCCACGCACATTTAAGCATCCCAGTTTTATAAAGTTTTTCTTCTTCTCTTTTTTAGTAAATGTCTACAGGAGAAGGGGTTACTAGCTCATTGCTCCCGGCATTTTAGTCGCTTCATACGACACGCATGGCTTACGGAGGAAAGATTCTTTTCCACTTTCCCATGGACAATAGAAGAAATAAAGAAGAACAAGAGCTATTTAGAAAAAGGAGAAAAACCTAGATGTATGTATATATATATGCATGTGCGTGTCTGTGAAGTGTGACCAAAGTGTAAGTGGGAGTAGCAAGATATCCCTGTTATCTAGCATGTTTATGAGACAGAAAAAGAAAACAGCAATCCTACCATCATGCAAAACAGTTACAGGTTTCTGTTTCACAGTCATCTGGCAGGACGGTAGTACTTCCCTGGGTGGTTGCTGTCTACCAACCTACTACCTACTGAGCTAGAAATCTATACATATATTGACGAATGTATTAATAATTTTCTAAAAAAGACCCAATACCTCTATAACAAGCACTGCCATAAAAAAACTAAACAGATGACTGAAAAGAGACTGAACAGTCCCTGGCTAACACCCAGTATCCTCACATCCATAAATACAAAGCACCTATATGAAAAACAGTACAGAATGGGCCACATAACCAGAGACCAAACAAAACGTTACTCGTCAATCCTAACCAGCCTAATAAGAAGGGCTAAAAAATTGTATTATGAGAACAGATTATCCAACTTACGAGGTGACATAAAAAAAGACCTGGAAAACCCTATCAGAAATACTAGGAACAAAAAAGATAACACGAAATAGCAAAATTCAATTAACAATACCAGATGAGCCCCAATTCCCACCTACTGAAACAGCAAACAGTCTCAATGATTTCTTCTCCACTATAGGAAAAAACCTTGCCAATAAAATCCCAAGCTCAGATACCCCACCCAATGACTACCTCACTGGCAACTACCCAAACACACTGTTCCTAGCTCCGACTAACCCAACTGAAGTCTCCCTTATTATCAACAAACTAAAAAACAAGACAGAAGATTTAAATACCTTACCACCCTTATATACAAAAAAAGTGTCACAGGTGCTATCACCAATCATTGCAACACTCTTAAACAAATCCATTGAATCCTCTACCTTTCCTACAGTCCTCAAAATAGCAAGGGTCACCCCGATCCATAAAGGAGGAGTCCACACAGACTTGAATAACTATAGGCCAATATCCAACTTACACCCTCTCTCTAAAATCTTTGAAAAATTAACCCATAAGCATATCTATTCCTACCTCATCTCCCACAACATACTCAACCCCTGTCAATTTGGGTTCAGGCCTAATAAAAATACTAATGATGCTATTATCCACATGCTAGAACATATTTATACAGCAATAGAGAAAAAAGAAGTCCCACTGGGGATCTTCATTGACTTACGTAAAGCTTTCGATACAGTTGACCACGACTTGCTCCACTTAAAATTGTCGCCCTATGGTATAAGAGGGCACTCCCTCAACTGCCTAAAGTCATACCTCAGCAACAGAAGCCAATATGTGTACACAAATGGGGCAAACTCTTTCGCACAGCCAATTACAGTTGGTGTCCCACAGGGAAGTGTCCTAGGCCCTCTTCTCTTTCTCATATACATAAATGACCTAACAAATGCATCGCAACTACTCAAACCCACACTATTTGCAGATGACACTACATACGTCTACTCTCACCCGTGCCCAGTCATGCTAGCCAATACTGTAAATACTGCATTACAGAAAATATCAACCTGGATGAGGATCAACAAACTTACTCTAAACATTGACAAAACCTACTACATTCAGTTTGGTAACAGAGCTGCAGATGTGTCTCTTAACATAATGATAAATGGATCACCTATCACAAAACTCACAGAAGGAAAATACTTAGGAAACCACCTTGATAATAGACTCAAATTTCAAACACATATACAACAAATTTCCAAAAATATTTCCAAGACCGTAGGCATACTATCGAAGATACGGTACTATGTTCCACAGTCAGCCCTCCTGGCCCTATATCACTCACTTATTTATCCCTATCTCACCTATGGAATTTGTGCATGGGGCTCAACAGCAATAAACCATCTCAGACCATTAATCACCCAACAAAAGGCTGCAGTCAGAATAACAAATTCCCACTACAAACAGCACACTCCACCAATATTCAAAACTCTAGACCTACTCACAATACAAAACATCCATACTTATTACTGCACCTACTACATACACAGAACACTTAACTCTGACATAAATCCTCCCCTCAAACATCTCCTTACCAACCTCATCAGAACACATGACCATAACACAAGGCACAGATCACTCTTTGATGTTCCTTGTGTCCATCTCATGCTATGCAAAAACTCAATGCACATAAAAGGCCCTAAAATCTGGAATTCATTACCTGTGAATATAAAAGAAACACTGTCTGTTTATAAATTCAAGTCTCTTCTCAAAAATCACTTACTCACCCACAACTAAATAAATACTGAATTATTGTATCTCATAAATTGTATCTCATATATGTATCTCATTATTGTATCTCATAAATGTCAACCTGTGACCCAATCAAACTTTGTTACTATTTAACTTCATTACCTAACAGAATACTCCATTCTACTGATTACACAGCAACACAGTAAATGCCCATATGACCTGTCTTTGTAATACTCATTTGTACTAAATTGTTATCTGTTTTACAATAATTTTTGTACCACTGAATATATCATTGCTTAGTTTATCTTAAGTTAATTTTAAGCCTGCCCACAATGCTCTGCATACAAGGGGCTTTGGCATGCTGCACTTTAAAAATTGTATTCCTTGTACTTCTCTGTATCATGTTCAAATTAATAAATAAATAAATAAATAAATAAATTTCAGTTAATTTAAATGGGGAAAATTGACTCTGCAAACGTGCAAATCCAGTTGCGAGCAAGGTCATGGAATGGATTAAGCTCGAAAGTAGAGGTTGCACTGTACACACACACACACATACAGTACTCCCCCATATCCATGGGAGATATGTTCCGAAACCTACAGTGGATACTCAAAACCGTGGAAGGTAGCGAACCCTTTGTATGTTGTTTATCGTTTACATACATACCTATGATAAAGTTTAATTGAAAAACTATGCACAATAAGTAGAGGATTAGCACTCTTTCATTTGAAGAACTGTCACCATCCCCTTTTTGTGCTTTGGTGTCATTATTAGGCAAAATTAATGGTTATTATCAGGCCATGGTAAACAGTGCATAACTGAAACCATGGAAACTGAATCTGTGGACACGGGGGTTTTACTGTACTGTATATACATATGCAAGTGTATGTGCCAGTTTTATTGACTACAACCCTATAGTGACTTACCTCAAGTCTGGTATTCATGAGAGACCCTGTTTAGCTGCTCGTAGTTTCTGCCGGGATTTATTAAAAGCATCGATTACTGCTCGAGTTGACAGCTGCCAAGCACATGAATCTTCCCTCTGTACCGCAAATTCTGAAATTTAAAAAATGATTCAGTTTGATGCATTCTTTCTCAAAGCAACTTTTTCTTTTTTATATAAAAATTACTGAACAGTTTGCCAAAAGCAAGTTGTCTCTCTAAGTGATGGGCATAAGACGAAAGTAGCTCACTCATGAGGGACTACTTAGACCCAAGTACAGTGTAGTACACTCATGTGGGACTACTAAAATGCAAGTAGCACACTCATGTGGGACTATTAACCCTTTGAGGGTTTTCGTCGTACTAGTACGTCTTACGCGTAGGGGTTTTTGACGTACTAGTACTCATAAATTCTAGCGACCTCAAATCTAGTGGGAGAAAGCTGGTAGGCCTTCATATGAAAGAATGGGTCTATGTGGTCAGTGTGCACAGTCTAAAAAAAATCCTGCAGCACACGGTGCATAATGAGAAAAAAAAAACTTTTTCCATTTTTTTTTAATAAATCAGCGATTTTGCAGTGTATTTTCGTATAGTATTTATTGTTGTATTCTAGTTTTCTTGGTCTCATTTTATAGAATGGAAGACATATTACTGAAATTGAGATGATTTTGACTGGTTTTACAATGAAAGGTGCCTTGAAATTGAGCTCAAAGTAGCAGAAATGTTCGATTTTTACCAAACTTCAAAAGTAAACAAATCGTGCCAAGCGTGCAATACACGTCAACTGCTGAGTCTAATATTCTTTCACAAGTGCACCAATAATATTTATACCATTTTTTACACTAATGCAGTAGTCTGCATAACAGTAAATCTTATATTTTTTGTGAGAATAAAAATTCAAAGTGGAAAACAAAAGAATATAAGAGGGGCCTTGAGACGTGACTAATGACTAGAGGAAATGTCATTTTAGTGCCAGGAATGTCTTTCTTGTTTATTCTGGACCCTATTCCGAAATTGGCATCTTTTGAAATTTGTGTGAAATTGGCAAAATTGCTAAATTCTGACCACTGTACTGGATAGTTGAATTTATAAATGGGTGGTTTCTTGCACCCATTCGATAGAAAAAATGGAGTTCTAGCGAAATATTCATGTTTTTTGTCGACTAGTACAGTGAAATTGGCCGAAAATTGGGCTCAAAGTGGGCAAAATCGCCGATCCGTAAACATCGCCGAGACCGCTAACTTTGCGAGAGCATAATTCCGTAAGTTTTCTATCAAATTTCAACTTTAGGTGTCGTATGATCGGGAAAAGATTCTCTATTTTTTCATAAGAGAAAATATTTTTTTTTTTTTTTAAATTTGGCCCCGACCCTGAGAACGAGTTTCGGAGAGGGCCTGTCGACCCTCAAAGGGTTAAGACTCAAGTAGCACACTCATGTGGGACTACTAAGACACATGTAGCATACTCATGTGAGACTATTAACTTTTTGGGGGGGTCAACAGGTCCTCTCAGAGACTTGTTTTTCAGGGTTGCACAAAATTCAGAAAAAATTATCTTTTTCTTATGAAAAGATAGAGAATCTTTTCCCGATCATAATGACAAAAAAAAAGTATGAAATTTGATGGAAAACTTACAGAATTATGCTCTTGCGAAGTTAGCGGTTCAACGCTGTTACGCACCGGCGATTTTGCCCACTTTGAGCCCTATTTTCGGCCAATTCCAGTGTACTAGTCGACAAACATCAAACTATTTTGCTAGAACTCCATTTTTTCTATCGAATGAGTCAAAAAACCCAAATCCATTACCGATTTCAACATCCAATAAAGTGGTCAGAATTTAGCAATTTTGCCAGTTTCACACAAATTTCAAAAGATGCCAGTTTTTGAATAGGGTCCAGAATAAACAAGAAAGACATTCCTGGCACTAAAATAACAAGTTCTCTGTTCGTTAATCACATCCCCAGGCCCCTCTTATATTTCTTTCTCTTTCCACTTTGAATTTTTATTCTTACAAAAAAAATAAGATTTACTGTTAAGCAGACTACTGCATTAGTGTAGAAATAGTATAAATAATATCAGTACACTTGTGAAAGAATATTAGACTCACCAGTTGATGTGTAGTGGACGTTTGGCAAGATTTGTTTACTTTTGAACTTCGGTAAAAATCGAACATTTCTGCTACTTTGAGCTCAATTTCAAGGTACTTTTCATTGTAAAACCAGTCAAAATTATCTCAATTTCTGTAATATGTCTTCCATTCTATAAAATGAGACCATGAAAACTAGAATAAAATAATAAATACCATATGAAAATACAGTGCAAAGTCGCTGTTTTAATCCAAAAACATGGTCAAAGTTTTTTTTCTCATTACCTACTGTGTGCTGCACACACTGACCACATAAACCCATTCTTACATATGATATGTAGGCCTACCAGCTTTCTCTCACTAGATTTGAGGGCGCTAGAATTTAGGCGTACTAGTACGTCAAAAACCCTGAGTTGTAAGACATACTAGTACGTCCAAAACCCCCAAAGGGTTAAGACTTAAGTAGCACACACATGTGGGACTACTAAGATTCAAGTAGCACACCCATGTGGGACTACTAAGACTCAAGTAGCACACTCAAGTGGGACTACTAAGACACAAGTAGCACACTCATGTGGGACTACTAAGACACAAGTAGCACACTCATGTGGGACAACTAAGACCAAAGTAGTGCACTTATGTGGGACTACCAAGACACAAACAGCACACTCAGGTGGGACTACTAAGACACAAGTAGTACACTCATGAGGGTCTACTAAGACACAAGCAGTACACTCATGTGGGACTACTAAGACCCAAGTAGCATACTCTGTGGGACTACTAAGACACAAGTAGTACACTCATGTGGAAATACTATGACACAAGTAGTACATGCATGTGGGACTACTAAGACACAAATAGCACACACATGTGGGTCTACTAAGAAAAAAGTAGTACACTCATGTGGGACTACTAAGACACAAGTAGTACACTCATGTGGGACTACTAAGACACAAGTAGTACACTCACGTGTGGCTACTAAGACACAAGTAGCACATTCATGTGGGTTAACTAAGACACAACTAGTACACTTTTATACTTTTATCCATTCAAGAATCTTGTAATTGACGAGTCTTTGATTTTGTTCAAAGGTAGGCTGTCATTCAAGTAGTATATACCGAGCAAGAGGAAACGCTTTGGTATAAAACTGTTTGTACTCTGTGACTGTGACAGTGGCCTGGTATTGGATATTGTATACACGGGAAGTAAAACATTGAAAGATACCAAGATGTTATTGGGTATCTCAGGTGACGTACTGAGAAGCATGATGGCACCTTATCTTGGTAAGGGGCATACATTATATACCGATAACTGGTACACAAGCCCATTACTCAGTGATTTCTTGCGAGTGAACAAGACAGATGTGTGTGGCACAGTGCATTCTAATCGTAAACATATGCCCAGGCTCAACGCAGGTGCTCGTGGTGATGACGTGCAGGTGTTTACTGCCAATGACATCATGGCATTACGGTGGCATGACAAACGAGATGTCACATTGGGTTTACAACCATTCAACGTAATGAAATGCAAGACAGTGGCAAAGTTATCGAGTGATTAATGAACATATTCGAAAACCAGTGACAGTGATTGATTATAAAACAAAACATGTGCTTTGGTTGACAAATGTGACATGCAGATTGGCTTTGTTGATTGTGTTCGTAAAAGTTACAAGTGGTACATGAAACTTTTCTTCCATCTCATGGACATTTCATTGCTCAATGCATATAATATGTACCAAATGAAGACTGGCAACAGACCATCGTATGGTGAATTTTGTTTGTCTGTTGTCAGACAACTCATAATGAAATACCAGGTAACAACACCTGCTATGCAACAAGGTCCTCGAACTCCTCAGGATATACCCAAGCGTTTGAGGAGGGAAGGTGATCATTTCATAATACAGCTTCCTTCAACTCGGAAGAAATTTCCTCAGAAGAGATGCATCGTCTGTGCACAAACAAAATGATGGCAACAAAGACGCAAAGACACTCGGTTTATGTGTGAGGAATGTAAGGTACCTCTGTGCATGGTGCCTTGTTTCAAGGAGGTCCACAAGCTCCAGCAGTTCTAAAACCATGTCCAGTAATTGTAAATATGTAAATATATGGCAGAACATTAGTATTATACAAGATTTGTGCATGTTTATAGTAATAAACAACAGTGGTAAACAATAATATGATAATAACTTTAGTGCGGTTATTGTGTTCAATACAGTGAGTTTATATATATACATTATATACAGTATTGGTCTCTCAGGCCCCAAATGTTAGTAGGAAAAGAAAAAAATTGGAAAAGAAAAGAAAAAACTACAAAAACTGCTAAATAAAGTAATGCGCGTATGTGGAAATCGTTGATGTTGCTGCCACCAGGTCATTTTGGACAAACTTCGCGGCACTGTATCTCGGTAAGTACTGATCAGAATTTTTTTTTTTGTCTTATTACCTTCACAAAAATATGCTCTTTAATTCTGTAAAAAAAATAAGTTTTTTTTTTTTCAAAATTTCTTGGACACTGGAGCACCACTTCAGATTTTGGCCTTGGACCCTGAAGGGGTTAATGTGCAGTCATGTATTACTACTAAGACACAAGTAATGCACAGTCATGTGGGACTACTAAGACAAGTAATGCACAATCATGTGGGACTACTAAGACACAAGTAATGCACAGCTATGAAGGACTACTAAGACAAGTAATGCACAGTCATGTGGTACTATTAAGACAAACTTACACTAAACATTGATAAAACCTACTTCATTCAGTTTGGTAACAGAGCTACAGATGTACCTCTTAACATAACGATAAACAGATCACCTATCACAAAGCTAACAGAGGGAAAATTCTTAGGAATCCACCTTGATAATAGACTCAAATTTCATACACATATTATTTTATTTTATTATCACACTGGCCGATTCCCACCAAGGCAGGGTGGCCCGAAAAAGAAAAACTTTCACCATCATTCACTCCATCACTGTCTTGCCAGAAGGGTGCTTTACACTACAGTTTTTAAACTGCAACATTAACACCCC